ATCAAACAAAGCATGAAGGAGATCAAGCAAATGGTGGTTTTCGCTTTTTGCCGCCACCACGGATGACGTGGCCAAACATGTGATAGTGGCATGAATGTCAATTTCAGTAAGGTAGCACGGCAGTTGTATTGCCTCGCATTTGCTGCCATGTGACCATGGGCGGAGACAAGGGGGGGCGAGCAGGGGCTAGACCCCTGCCAATCGCTCGCCCCCCTCAACGGTTTTTAGCAGGCTGCATACTGTACATTGCTAATGGCCCCAGCTAAATGCATCATTAGCCCATATAAATTATATTCATTGAACCAGCTACACCGAATATAGAAGACCAAAGCCCAATAGCCCATACATATGTAGGCATATGGTCGTGGCTGGCTCCTCTGGTGTATGGATAATGTGATCGATCTGATCGATTGGTGTACACGCGTATTCTCTGGACGACCTAGGGCGTTCGCCGTTGTCGCCGGCTGCCCCTAGGCCACCCGCCGCCGCGGGTGTCCTGCTTGGGCGTTTGTCATTGCCGTGGCGGCCATCCATTGGTCGCCTTGACGACAATTTCCTCCACCATTCTACACCACAGTTCGCTGTCCGCATACAATTAGATGGAGGCGGATCAGATCATACGAATACAGCTTGATGCCGCTAGCGAGGTCACCAAGATTGAATATATTGGCAGCAGGTACCACGACGCACCAGTAGCTATTAATTATTAGTATATTTTTTCATGAATTATGATCTTAGTCTGATTTATTAGCATTGTATTTACAATAGAGCTTTTGACATTTTGGGCATTTTTGGATCCATGATATGAGTTATTTGACGTGTCTACCATATGCACACTAGTGGATTTTTATTATCCTGTAGTCTTTTCTAGTTAAGAAAGGGTTCAATTAGAGTATCAACTTGCCCATTTCAAGCTTAGTACAACTTTATATTAAAGTTAGCTGAAAGTTGAGACACTTATTTTGGGACGGAGGGAGTATATTGGTAATAAGGAAAATAGCCAATTCACGTTATCAACTTGCCCATTTCATGCCTAGTACAACTTTATATTAAAGTTAGTTGAAAGTTGAGACACTTATTTTGAGCGGAGGGAGTATATTGGTAATAAGGAAAATAGCCGATTCACGTTATCAACTTGTTCAACGCTGGTGGCTGTCGTAGAGCTAAGTTTATAGAAATGTAACATTCTTTTGTAGTTTCAAACATATGTTTTAAAGATTTCTTATCAGTGCCATCACGAGACTCAATATATTATGATGTTCCACTTCTATTAGCATTGGCTTTTCGCCCCCCTCATGTCCAAATCCTGGCTCCGCCCCTGCATGTGACAATGTGTTTTTCTAGTCTTACAATTATGGATGACTGTGACGTTATACGTCTATGAGATTTTTTGTTAGAAAAAGGATAAATACGTGC